CACTAAAAAAAATTAAAATTATAACATGCCATTTTTTTCTTTTTTCTCTTTGTGGGTACATAGTAGGTGTATATATTTACATGCCATTTTGCCTACAAAATTTATAAAGGTTGGAAAAACCCTCTATTGATAAGCATGCTAGAAAATGGGTACTCAAATATTGTTGGCAGTAATTTAAATTTATGTAACTTTTCTGGTGGTCATTTAACAATGTGTTTCAAAAACCTTCAAATGTGCATAAGCTTTGACCTGACATTCTACTTCTACAAACTCAGTTTTAGAAAATAGTCATGGGGCTGGGCGCGGTGGCTTGGCTGGGTGCAGTGGCTCATGCCTGTAATCCCAGCACTTTGGGAGGCCTAGGTGGGCGGATCATTTGAAGCCAGTTAAGACCAGCCTGGCCAACATGGTGAAACCCGTCTCTACAAAAAATAAAAATATTAGGCAGGCGTGGTGGCAGGCACCTGTAATCCCAGCAACTTGGGAGACTGAGGCAGGAGAATCGCTGGAATCCACAAGGCAGAGGTTGCAATGAGCTGAGATGGTGCCACTGCATTCCAGCCTGGGGGACACAGCAAGACTCTGTCCAAAAAAAAAAAAAAAAAAAAGAGAAAGAAAAAAGAAAAGAATAGAAAAGAAAATAGTCATGGATGTGAATATAAATAAACTATAAGCATGTTATATAATTTCAATAAAGACTAAAAATAACCTAAATAACAGGGATTTGATAGCTAAAGTATGATTCATGCAATCTTTATTATACAATGATTAAAATACTACCATAAAGAAATAACAAAATAATGGGATGCTACACATCTGTTTTAAAAAATGAGAATGTTCTGGCCAGGTGCAGTGGCTCACGCCTGTAATCCCAGCACTTTGGGAGGTTTAGGCAGGCGGATCATGAGGTCAGGAGATTGAGACCACGGTGAAACCCCGTCTCTACTAAAAATACAAAAAATTAGCTGGGCGCAGTGGCGGGCACCTGTAGTCCCAGCTACTCAGGAGGCTGAGGCAGGAGAGTGGCGTGAACCCGGAAGGCGGAGCTTGCAGTGAGTCGAGATCACGCCACTGCACTCCAGCCTGGGTGACAGAGTGAGACTCCGTCTCAAAAAAAAAAAAAAAAAAGACATTGTTCTGTTCTGTATATATTGAAACAGAATGATCTACATTATATATTGCTAACTTATCTACATTGTATACTACTAACTAAAGTTATGTGGAGAAAAGTATAAATAGCATGAATAGCATGCTATCATTTCTGTAAAAAAAGAAAAATTACATATTTGTTTCATTAAGCATATATCATCTCTGGAAGAACACATAAGGAACTACATATGGGAAAAAAACTGAATATCTCAGGACAGAGTAGGAAAGAGAGACTTCATTGTATAATCTTGTGTACTTTTGAATTTTGAATCATATGAATATATTAATTTTTATAAGTAAAATATCATAGAATATTAAATGACATGGGAAGGAGTTCTACTTTCAGTGTGGCTAAGTGAACTCCTATCAGGTCAACCATCCTGCAGATAACTATCAACTTGGGACAACATACAGAAAAACAACTACCTGAAGGCTCTTTACAATTAACAACCAAAGTAACATTCTGGAGGAAAGGTGAAAGTTGGGAGACAGAATGAAGCATAGGGTAAGGTTATTTTTGTTATGGCTTTAGCTTGAGGGAAGCCCATGGTCAATGCTGTGTCATTCTATGCAGGCAGCAATAGAAAACGGTGTTTCTGGCCTGAAGAACCAGACCTCAACCACAAGCAGTAGAAAGTGAGGGGGCAGGCTGGGTGCGGTGACTCACGCCTGTAATCCCAGCACTTTGGGAGGCCTAGGGGGGTGGATCACCTGAGGTCAGGAGTTCGAGACCAGCCTGACCAATATGGTGAAACCCCGTCTCTACTAAAAATACAAATATTAGCCAGGCATGGTGGCATGCGCCTGTAGTCCCAGAGTGAGCCGAGATCATACCACTGCACTTCAGCCTGGGTGACAGAGCAAAACTCGGTCTCAAAAAAGTTAAAGAGAAAAGAAAAGAAAAGAAAGTGAGGGGGCAATCCCATAAAAGAGAGTCAGAGAGAGAGAACTCCCAAATTCTGTGTAAAAGAACTGCCCAAATCTCCATCTGACTGCTGATTAAACATGTGTGGGGCAGACGGCAAACAGCTCAGCTAAGGATAAAAGAGCTAAACTGAAATTTGAGTTGCCAACCAGGAGACAGAATTTGCAGGCTGAGTACAACCAACTAAAGTATCTGCTAAAACAAGAATTATCTATTTGTTCTTAGGTGAGTTTTGGTGGTTTGTAGCTTTCAAGGAACTGGTTCATTTTCTCCATGTTACTGTATGTCCAATCATAGTTTTGAGCCATCTTCTGTGGGCTAGATTCCCATGTGTCAGTTGTTTACAAAACCTTTCTGCAGTGCTCTTTTACTGTCCTAAAAGAGCACTATCCAGCGGCCAGTATGGAAACTGAGCAGTTGTCTACTCTATAGGTTAGCTCTCAAAGGCTTTGGTGTGCTATTTAGGGTCAGATACACCTATGTACAGCTTAGGGTAGACCCAGGTATTCTTATACAACTTCATGGGATTTCTTTCTTGAGCTACCTCTGCTTCTCAATTCTCCCTGACATTCTGGCTTCCAGGGATCCTCCTTCCAGGTCCTCTAGCTAGAACAACAGAGCCTTGGTGATCTCCCTTCTTTGCCCAACTGCGTCCCATCTGGGTCTGCCTCTGAGGCCAAGAGGCAGGAAAACAGAGAGGTCAAAAAGCAACATAATTTCTCCTATGGTCTTTGGACCACAATTCCTCTAGTGGGAGAGAATTCCCTTCCCTTAGAGTTTAGATGCCTCCCAGCAGCTGCTACCATCATCACATAACCGTCACAAGACTGCAGATTCAGGACTGGAGTTTGCCTGGGAGCTGGGAAGAGACAGAAAGAAAGTGGCAAAAAAGTTAAGTAATTAATTTAATTAAATAAAAATTCCCAGGAGATTGCTCCCATGCTGTGTCTTGTTGGTGTCCACCTTCCCTCTCCTCAGACAAGAAAAAGAAGGTATCTCTTGGAGCTCTTTCTGTTGACACCCAGTACATAGTTCTGGGATTCATGCTGTTTAACACTAGGCTGGATGAAATGAGAAAAACAACAAAAACAACCACAACCATGAAACTCACTCCTGGATCATTCCTGCTTTGACTCTGCTTTTTTTGCCCTGCTGACTGCTCCTTTTTACTTTTAAGACTCCTCAGAAAGCCGCTCCATGCGTTCTTTCCAGATTTTCAGTTATATTCAGAGAGAGAGAGAGACAGAGTAGAGTTTACTTATTCCATCTTACCTGCAACCAGAACCAGCCTCCATTAAATGTTAATGAACTATACTCTAATTATTTAATTTTTAATTTAAAAAATTTTTTGAGACAGAGTCTGGCTCTGCTGCCCAGGCTGGAGTACAGTGGTGCAATCTTGGCTCACTGCAACCTCCGCCTCCCGGCTTCAAGCGATTCTCCTGCTTCCGCCTCCCAAGTAGCTGGGATTACAGATGCCTGCACCACACCTGGCTAATTTTTGTATTTTTAGTAGAGACAGGGTTTCACCATATTGGCCAGGCTGGTCCCGAACTCCTGACCTCAAATGAACTGCCCTCCTCGGCCGTCCAAAGTGCTGGGATTACATGCGTGAGCCATGGCGTCCAGCCACTCTTTATAATTATTATTATAAAGATGCTAAACATGCTTAAGGATTTTTTTAAAACTTGAAAGTAAAGAATAGAGAAATGGGAGTTATGCAGAAAGAACCAATGGAACTTGTAGAGATTCAAAGTATAATAACAAATTAAAATATTACTAGATGAGATTAATAGCAGATTAAATGCAGAAGAAAAGATGAGTGAACTTGAGGACATAACAGTAGAAACTATCATAATAGTCATAGAAGCTACATTTTCACCTGAACCCCCATGTAACAAATATTTTCAATGGCAAATACATGTAGATTCATTATAGCAGATTTCCCATTTGGATGGGAAATTTGAGTAAAATATAAATATTTGTCATATCAAATATTCATATAAGGGGTATAGAAATATAGGTATGCTGGGATCTTGTCTGGTTTACTGGTTATAAATCAGTGTTTGTTTCTCATCAGGTAGCTCCAGGTGAGCCCCCAAAATAAATGTGGCTCAGAGTTCAATCTCCTACAAGAAACTGTATTGATCCACATGCTGGAGCAGCAGGCAGCTCAATTCCATCCTAAACTCTGGGTAGGGAGTGGACTAGCATTTTTCAGACTCGTAGCCTTAATAAGGAGTCCAGTTCCTGTTCCCCAAATGTTGATCTTTTTCAGTTATACACGTACATTCTCATGAATGTTAACACTCTAGCGTCTAAGGTGTATATCTGGTCCAGAATCCCCCAACTGACACGGAGATGAGGAGGATTGTGTGGGCCCTCTCTTCATTTTTGGTACCTGGTGATTTTTTATTCTTGTATTTGAACTTAGCTACATATGTCTTTAATGTTTAAATGTTTTATCCAACATTTCTCAAGTTTTGGAGTGGAAATAGGGAATTTGTATATCTGCTCAGTTTGTCTTCTGGCCAGAAATTCTATATATAAGAAAATAATCGATAAGAGTACTACCCAAAAATAAATAACAGCAGCAGCAGCAATTGTCAAAGAAGCCTGTCTCCAGGTTGCGGTGAATTCTCAGAAGAAAAGTAATCCCAATTTTGTTTTAAGAATATTAATAAGAACTGAAAAAATGCATCTGAGCATGGAAAATCTGAACTTTACCTTCAAAAGAATCATGACCCTTTCACAATTGTATAATACTTATCTCAAAAAATAGCTTTATGATAAATAAATAGTTTTCATTTTAATAGAACAATCTTTTTACTAATTATAATTCTCCAAAATAGATTTTGTCATTCCCATATTACATCTACACAAAATATAGTTTGTCATCCTAATATTATTTATATGATAAAATCACCTTTGTGCTTCTTTAGAAGCTTGTAGCCTTCACAGTATCTGCCTGATGAAGTCATCATCTTGGCTGTGTCAAGATAGGAATACGCTGCAGCAAAATCAAACTCCTTTTTACCATCCCACCAACCTTTCCGCTTAGCATAGTTTCTCATGTCTGGGTGTTCCCGGTCAATCTTGGTTGTTATGGAAAGCTGATTAGAAATATTACGAACTCCCTCTATTTTCAAAGAAGAGGAGAAAGAAGAAAAGTCATATTTAACATAAAGCACGTATCTGTACATTATGATACCTACTCACTATGTAAACGTAAATATAGACTTCTAAATTTTGTGCCATGGGCATCTATTACATATTTAAAAAGATAAATGAATTATTTTTAAAATTAAACTTATTTTGAGATAATTATAGATTCACATGCAGTTATAAAAAAAAAATACTAAGAGATACTGTGTACCCTTCACCCAGTTCCCCCCAATGGTAACATCTTGCCAAACTGTAGTATAATATCACAACCAGAATATTGGTATTACTATAGTCAAGATCAAGAATACTTCCATCACCACAAGGATCCCTCATGTTGCCCTTTTATAGCCACACCTGTTGGGAGCAAGCCCCCCAAAATCTGGCCATAAACAGGCTCCAAAACTGGCCATAAACAAAATCTCTGCAGCACTGTGACATGTCCATAATGTCTACAATGTGCCTACATTGTACACTGCTTACTGCAGCCTCGACCTCCTGGGTTCAAGCTGTCCTCCCCACCTCAGCCTCTTGAGTAGCTGGAACTACAGGTACACGTCACCACACTCAGTTAATTTTTGTATTTTTTGTGGAACTGAGGTCTCACTATGTTGCCCAAGCTGGTCTCACACTCCTGGGCTGAAGTGATCCTCCTGCCTCAGCCGCCCAAAGTGCTGGGATTATAGGCATTAGCCACCATGCCCAGCCAATAATTTTCCATCTAATAAATAATTCCCTATCATTTAACAATTTACTTCTTGGGCTTAGTTAGTAATAGAAAGAGAAACCAGTTGGCTAAGTTAATCTACAGCTAGACAGTGAGACCCAATGAAGGTGTTCATTTTAGATGGCTAGGTGGGGCTTTTTCAACAAAATGTATTTATTTATTTCTCTCTTGCACGTAGTATATTTAATAAAATAAAAGTGCTCAATGATATTATCAAGCCAATGATCACAAAAAGAAAACTTCTAACTACAATGTTGTATATTAATAAACATATATGCAAAACATAAAACAAAATGTCCATCAAAACAACTGGTAATGACCTGTTTCGAAAAATAACACCCAAATCCTCCAAAGTTCAAGGCTACCTTCATGAAGCCTTTCTGAATTCCTCTAGCTCACAATAATAACCTTTCTGTTCTCTAAATGTTCAGAGCATCTATGTGTCTGTATCATTCATGCACCATTTAACATTTTCACATGTTTATCTTATCTCTCTAGTAAACTAAGAGTCCAGGAGTTAAATACCCAAGACGGACATGATTATGCTTAAACATAAGGCTATGTTCTAGTGACGAGATTCAAGATGAAAAGATTTAAATTCTAGGTCTTTCATTTACCACCTTAAATCACTTTACATCTCTGGCTTTCCTCACTTGAAAAATTAGAGGAATATATATCACAAAGGAAATGAGAATGAAAAATCAAAGCATTCGAAAACAATTAAATAATGTTATTTTATTCAAAGATATCAAACGTCTGTGTTTTACTATTGTATCAACATAGCTTTTCCAACCACCAACTCACAAACACCTGTCTTTAACCCCATTCTCATTTCCTCACCTCCACACTTACACATAAGATTTTGGAGTGCAGCCCAAAGTTTAAAGGGGAAGAAATTGTAAGGGATTATTAAAGTGAAAAAGTACGATGAAACGGCCAAGAGCTGCAGCAAAGAAAGTATATACAGGTTACATGAAATTCATATTCCCAGAGGTAATGCTACCTTTTTATATTTTTCAAGAAAGCTCTTTATGGCACTTTTTCCATTGTTCTTTCAAATTTTTAAATTTCCCTTATAGTTCAACCCTTCATTATACTAGATTATTAATCTTGGAAGCATTTAAATGCAGTATCTACAGGTAAGGGTATATTTTATTAATTGCAAAAACAAGTTAAATCACAAAAAGTTGTCCATACCTTGTACTTTTTCTGCTGCCCAGTACTTCCCTGCAGTCTCCAGAATCCAGGCCTCATTTCTATCAGCTATCAGGAAACTGTTGTGATAGCTAAATACCATCCTACCCTCTGTGCAATTTCCACCCTGGCCGTATTTTTCTAATAAGTCAACAATGACATTGAGGGCTTTTTCAGCTGTATCAGCTCTTTCAAGGCCAAGTCTAAAACAAAAATATAAAGTTCTCAGATTAAAATAAATTTCCATTATTTTTCTTAAATAATTTCATGCTCATGAGATTTTTTAGATTCCCCAAGTAAAATTTCTTTCAACTTAACAGATGAAATGACATCTAACTTTAAAATTTTTCCTTCTGAAGTCAGTTTGGAATCATGGAAACAAAGTTTCTAGAGTCAAACAAACCTATCAAATTCGAATTTGGTAATTCACTGTCAAGTTACTTTATCTCTGAACCTCAGATATCTCATTTGTAAAATGAGCACGATAGCCCATGAGGTTATGGTGAGAATTAGTTAAGGTGTGATTAAAATATGTTAGGCACTTCCAATGAATCATAATTTCCTACTTCTTCCCTTCTCCCAAATAATAATATCTGAAAGCTGGGCATGGTGCCTGTGCCTGTAATCCCAGCTACTCAGGAGCTAAGGCAGGAGAATGACTAGAGGCCAGGAGTTCAAGACAAGTGTAAGCAACATAGCAAGACCCTAGTCTCTGAAAAAAAAAAAATTTTTTTAATTGAAAATTAGCCAGGTGTGGTGGCACGTGCCTTTGATCCAAGCTACTTGGGTGACTCAGGTGGGATGATTGCTTGAGCTCAGGAATTCAAGGCCATAGTGAGCCATGATCACACCATTATACTCCAGCCTGCATGACACAGTGAGATCTCATCTCAAAAAACCAAAAATTAATTGATTTAAAAAACCAAACAAAACTGAGAGTCATGAAATTGCATGCCGGTACTTTAAAACATTTTGACACAAACTGCAAAGTATCAAAGCCCCCTCAAAAATAGGAAAAGAAAACAAGTAAGAGTTACACAAAAATTACAAATTAGAAAAGGTCTATAGCATGAAACGTAACAAAAAATAACCTGACAAGATCCATTCCTAATAGTGCTTCTTCATCACAAACTTCTTCTCTTCCCCATACAGCTTCATTCCCAATGCAAACTCCATGCTCATTGGCTCCCATTTCTGCCCCCCACAACCATGCTGGGCGACTCAGGACAACAGCATACGTTTCAGGAACTTGATCAATTTCTATATACGTACACTGTAAAAAAAAAAAAAAAAAGTCATAGCAAGAACCACGAAACCAGAAAAGCTATCAAACTCCAGAATTTAAAAAAATCAGTCAGAAGACAAGACTTATGAAAGAGGTAAAGGAAATATAAGTAAATTGAAATTTTCAATAATAAAAGCATTACCCTTAAAACATATCCAGAATAACCCTAAAGTATTTATTCATTCAAATATTTGCTGAGCATTTCCTATTATAAAACATTCTGCCAAGAGATATGGTAGTTACAAAGATGAATCAGATAAAGATCTCACTTTTGAGAAACTAAAACTTGTACATTAATTAAGATAAAATAAAATATAAAGTATTAGGGTCATGAAGTGAAGACAAGGTGCTACTGAAGCTCAGGAGAAAGATGGTCTCTAGCCGTAATATCTTGAAACATTTTTGTAGATGTGTGAGTTGAAGCTTAAGGAAGTAGTTCTCAACCTCAATATCCAGTGTTTTTTAATTAGTGATATAAGTACCCATCTGGTAGCCTTCAAATACAAGAGTTTTGTCATAGGAATCTCACATCACATTTTGAAGTCATCTATTAGGTATGTCCACAGCCATGAAAAGAATGAGAACCACTGGTTTACAGGACAGGCTAGATTTATATCTGAAGAAATAAAGTGGAAATGGTATCACAGATGAATAAGTGGTCTTAGCAAAAGAAAAAAATATGACATAGGATACAGAAAACAGTCTAATATTTAATATGTTTTAATATTATAATATCAATAAAATAAAATCTAAAAAGTATGAATTAGCAACAATAGCATAATTTGAGGCTCTCATTTTAAGTTCCACATTAAATGGGTTTTTTAAATAAGTTTTTAAAGGATCCTTTAATTAATGTGTATACTACGAAGTGACTGCATAAAATGTATATTGATAGTGTTAACATAGAGCCTAAAAAACCTTTTTTGATGTGTCATAAAACTGTCATTTCCAGAGTCTGGGATGACTTTCCTATTCTACATCAAGAAGAACCTATACCAATTCAGAATCAGAATCCTTTTTGTCCATCAAATTCCAGCTAACTCCAAGCCGCATTAAATGTTCCTTCTCTTCTGCTGCCACAGCATGCTACTCTTACTTAACTTTAGCATTTAAACCACCCAGTTTTAAAATGGGGTATAATGCATACACATCTTATTCCTATACTAGACTCTAAGCTCCTGGAATAGATGGAGTCTTGACAGCTGACTTTAAATCTCTTGCCCTATCTAACATGCTTGCATATGGAGACCATTCAAATATTTATTCAAAGAATGGATAATTTTATTATTATTTCAACTTCCTCCAAATCACTGAAATAAAAGATTACGGTTTATTTCTGACTCATTTATTTTTCAAATGTAAATTCCTCAATTTTAACTTTTATAGTTTCTTCCAAGTTCCTATTTATAGAAATAACTTTATGATATTTTTTAAATAACTTTATGATATTGCTAACAAAACATTTATTTCACCTACCTTAAGATGTTCTCCCAGGTTATTATGAACTGCAGCAGGAAAATAAACTACCTCTTGTACTTCATCACAGAGTCTATCTGAATTTTTTCCAAAAATAATCCTGTTATCGACTGTTGCTGGAGGTAATGCCACGAACGTGTCACAGGAAAAAGGTTCCATTTTTTAAACTAAAAATTATACAGATGTTTTAAAATTAAAAAAAAAACCTTTAAGGATATAAAAACAAACAGTTTTACTCAATGACCAAAGGATATTATTGCCATATTTAATTAAGGATGTTCATTAAAGCTTTGATTTTTTTATTTTTATTTTTTGGAGACAGGGTCTAGCTTTTTCACCCAGGCTGGAGTGCAGTTATACAATCAGGGCTCACTGCAGCCTGGAACTCCTGGGCTCAGGAGATCCTCCCTCTTCTGCCTCCCAAAGCCCTGGGATTACAGGCATGAGTGATCATGCTTGGTTGTTCATTAAAGTTTTACATTTTGTATACTATAGCCTAAAAATCAATAAGACTATGACTTGGGACTCAATCTTGTACTACAACTCAATAAGAAAATGGCAATGAAAACTACCTTCTTATAGTTTATAGTTCACATTTATTCTCTAAGATCTTTCTCTCCTAAAGTCTTCCCTGAACTTCCTTTCACCATTTCCACATTTGGAAATCCCTGTACCTAGCTCTACTGTTGTAAAGGCTAGATTCTACAACATTTGTGTATATATAAGTCCCTTTACTGGACAATGAGATCCTTGAGGGCTGGGAGTATGTCTTACTAATCTTTGTATTCTCATTGCTGGAACTTGTCTTATGGAAAAAAATCTTATGTGCCCAGTGCTTCCTCAAGGGAAGGAAGAAGGGGTCTTATTTGAGCTGGGAAATAATACACACAGATTATAATTCTGATGAGACTGAAATTTTGAAACAGACTCATTGATTCAGACAAAAATATGTCAATATAATTTCAAATTGTTGGCATTTCTAGAAGAAAGTTCACATATTTAATTTATAAATCGCAATTATATACTTTAATATCTAGGTTACCTCTTCAGTTGTAATTTGGAAAATCTTAGATCTTCACTTATAATAGAACACCTAAAGATCCTTATTTCGCTGCCAGAATGGACACATTGTTTTACAGAGTTTCCTTCTTTCCTTTAATAATGACAAAACCTTAGAATGGCTTTACACAGGCAGATGCTAGCAATTTAAAAACAAAATTTAAATATAATAAATGTTTCCTTAAAAAGAAAACAAAATGAGTAAAGAAAAACTTCAGCCTGAAACTCCTAAGGGTTTTCCTGTTCTCCTAGTGAGAAGTCTGATGTCTTGATGGCTTCTGTTATTTTCTTTCTGTGTTTCAACCTTATGTCCTGGATCTCCTTCTATTTGTGTTTTATAGTTAGTTCCATCACTATATAATTTTGGCAGACTATTTAATCTCTCTCTTCCCTATGCCTTCTGCCTCACCAGTAAAATAAAAGACACTGTTTGATGGGCTGTTAGAACTTAATAAGGCAACATGTAAAGTGTTTTGCACAGTGCATAGAACATACTAGATATTCACGTGAAAGCTGTTATTGTTGTTATTTGGTAGGAGAGAAAATTTCTCATAAAGTCTTATTCTTTTTTTTTTCTTTTTCCTGACAGTTTAACTCTTGTTGCCTAGGCTGAGTGCAATGGTGCAATCTCGGCTCACTGCAACCTCCGCCTCCCGGGTTCAAGTGATTCTCCTGCTTCAGCCTCCCGAGTAGCTGAGATTACAGGCGCGTGCCACCACACCCGGCTAATATTTTGTATTTTAAGTAGAGACGGGTTTTCACCACGTTGGCCAGGCTGGTCTCGAACTCCTGACGTCAGGTGATCCACCCACCTCGGCCTCCCAAAGTGCTGGGATGACAAGCGTGAGCCACCGCGCCCGGCCTAAGTTTATTCTTAACATTACCCTGATAGAGAGCTTGGTTGGTGGGTCACCTGCTGCAGTAGCAGCCATGTCCACTCAAAAACCTGGAGTCCCAAGGTCCATCAAGCTGCAATAGGTAATCTGAGCTGCCTAACTGGGGTCGTAGGGAAAGCTAAGGAAACTTGCCGCCTGGTTAGAATGGCACCTAGCCCACTGACGAGGTGAAGCCTTGAGAGATTTTACTAACTCCTAACGTGTATTCGTCATTCAGTAAGTCTTTATTGAACGTCTTTCGGCGTCAGCACCGTACAGCTGGGGGAAGGGCCTCCGTTCTTGCAAAGCTGTCTCATTCTATTTCACGCGCTCTTAGTTCAGCTGGCGCTTTCAGAAACATATCGTTGGATTCTCGCAAACGTACTACAGTTAGGGCAGGAATTATTATCTCCATAACACAGATGAGAAAAACAGTGCAGAAAAGTTTTTGCCGCTCGAGTCAGAGTTCACAGAAAGTAATGGGCTCGAGCTTCAAGCACCTTTGGTCGAAGGGCCGCCGCGGTCCACCCCGCACCCCGGCCCTGGGCGCTCAAATCGCAGCCAGCGCAGCTGGGCTCTGGAGCCCCTTGGTCAAGCAGTAGCCCCCCACAGTTGGGTCTTCCCGGTTTCTGTCTCAACTATGCACGCCCCTCCCCCGTGCACGCCGCTCACCTGGCCTCCAAACTACCCGAAGTGACAGATGGACGGAGGGAGGATTGGCCAGTGTAGGCATCAGTTGCCGGAAGCTGTTACCTTTGACCTCGGAAGTTCCCCCTGCCGCTGGAAAAGCAGTTCCGGTTAGGAGGCTGAGTTTGTTTACGTTACTTACAGATTTAGGTGCTGCTTTCCCTAGCTCCAGTTCCAAGATGGGGAAATCCTTCGCCAACTTCATGTGTAAGAAAGACTTTCATCCTGCCTCCAAATCCAACATCAAAAAAGTGAGTAAAGAGACCCGGGGAGGGATCAGGCCCACGGAGACTGCCTTCCCTGAGGTGCTGGAAGTGAAAGTGGTGATGTCTCTGAGGTCCGTAGGACAGCCCCCGCTTCTCTAGGCCTAAAGCCCCGTAGTCTCGCCTTTCTCTGCTGAGCAGCTCGCTGACGCAGGGGATCCTCAGCGTTTATTCTGCAACAGCGAGGAGACCGGCGGCCTAGATCATCTTTGTCGGCCGGAATGTAAATCCGTAATATGTGAAGACTAATGTCAAAATTCCTCAGTACTTCCCTCAGCTGATTCTGGTTTTTTGTCTTTTCGGATCCCAGGGATCACAGCTTCTGAACTCTACTTTTCTGTACAAAGAAGTCTCCACGTTTATTTAAGATAGATCTTTTAAAAATTTACCCAATAATCTAGTGTCTTTTTAATGACCTCGTTGAAGTTTAGTGTTTTACGTAATTACAGGTCTACCAGGTGTAATACCTTGGTGAATATCATAGTAATGAAAAGCAGAAGAGTGAATTAAAAAGAATCGGCTCTGGAGTCAAATCTGGATTCTAGTTATTCGAGCAGTCACTTTTAGCCTTAAGACCTTGAACAAAATATTTGTAATATCTGACCCTCAGTCTCCTAATCTGTAAATTAAGGGTGATTGGCTTAATTGTGAGGATTAAGTGAAATAGTGGAGATAAAGGATTTGAAACAACGTAGGCATCTATCACTGTTCGCTACAGAGAGGAGGTGCTCAATAAAATGTTGATTGCCCCTATATAGAAAGTTGTGAAAATAACTAAGCTTTTATTTGGTTTTAGAACGAGTTGAGGTGATGAGATATTGCTGTATACTCTCACTTCTAGACCAGTGATTCTCAACTTTTTTTCACTGTTACCTTCCTAAGGAGCCTTATTAAACATTTTTTCTTAGTAACTCCCCTATGAAATTTTAATAACACAGATACACCTTGAAAGCTCTTTGGTAATCATCCAGCCCCATCTCCTTATTTTATAAATGAGGAAACAAATTTGCCAAGAGTTACACAGCTAGTTAAATGTTGTACCAGAACTAGAATCTGGAACACCCGATTAACCTAGTGATTTTTTCCGCCGCACCAGTTTGTGTTTGCGTGGTTGCAACTGTGGGAGGGAGATTTCTTGTATTTGGTTAGCTCAATAACTGTTGACACCAAACACAGACGTTTCCTTTCTCTGCATACTCAGGGGGTCAGCTATTACTAGTTTTACGAGAATGAAGAGATTAGATGGAATTTAGTTGCTTGCTTAGTTGCTGTTTATATTTAGAGACAAATATACCTGAGAAATCATAATTTTTTACTGGAACTTTTGACATTTAGCTTTATAAAAGTCATTGAATCAGCTTTCTTACAAGAAAAAAGAAATCCACGGAGAATAACTTTTGCAAATCCCCTATGAGAAATTCAGTAAAGCAATTATAGGCTTAGAACCTACATTCTTCTCATCCGTATAAAGTGTTATGTAAAATGTACCAAATACTGTTGGCCTTTGTGATCTGTTTTATACTTTTCCCAGGATAGAGGAGAAGAATGAAATGTTTTTGATTAGCAGACCTTTCTAGATAGTTAACACTTTATGGGGAGAGGGGGTAACCTCTAACATTCTTAATTAACTAAGGATAGAGGAACTATATTAAATGAAGATAAATAGAAAAATGTATTCGGGTAGGAGGAAACTTTTGGAGATAATGGATATGTTTATAGTCTGGATTGTGGTGATGGTTTCTCAGGGATATATATACTTGTCACCAAACTCAGGTTGTATACATTAAATATGTACAACTTTTTATATGTCATACTCCAGTAAAGTTTGTTTGTTTGTTTGTTTTTAAGAAATAGAAGTGGAAGAAACAAAGGAGTTTGATCAAAGAGTGCAAAAGAGTTCCACCATGAAAATTTTAAGGGCCAGGTATGGTGGCTCATACCTATAATCCCAACACTTTGAGAGGCCAGGAATTCAAGACCAGCATGGGCAACAAAGTGAGACCCCATCTATATTTAAAAAGAAAGAAAGAAAATTCTAATTGTAAAATTAAGCATGTTGGGTTTATTAAAGTCCAGTAGGTTCTTTTTTTCCTTGTTCATTTTCAGTTTCCCAAGCTTACAAAGAGTCTGGTAGGTTTTAAGGTCTCATTTGTTCACCAGAAATAAGAGTGAATGCTATACATCTGCTGGTCACTCTGTTATGTATTTTTATGCGCTGCCTCAGTCATTTATGTCACAGGATACACTGTTTTAGTTCAGCTGTTCTTTGTTAATGAAGGAAGCAGTTAATTTACATTGTGGTCCCAAGCTCCTTATTTGTCTTCTTGTGAACTGGCAAACACTTTACAAACCGGCTATTGACAATAGCACCACTGTAAACTCCTTTTTTTGTGAAAGTCTCTCTTCTCTTAGCTGTAATAACTACTCTCTTCTAGTTTTCCCGCTCTATTAGTAGACTTCTTTTTCCATCAACTTCACTGGATCTTTATTTTTAGCCTGCTCCTAAAATATAAGTGTTCCCCAGAGTTTCATCCTTGGCCCACTTCTTGCTTACTTAGTATGCTTGCCCCAAGCAATCACATCCAACTAACCCGTTTTAACTAGCCTGTTTACTCATGACTGAAATCTGCAGTCCCAGTTTTCTCTTCTTAACTTTGATGTGGCTCAAGACAGCTATCTAGACATTTGCATCTTGATGTCCTATAGGCACCTCCAACTCAACATATCTGAAATAAAAGGTTTTTTTACCCCAAATCTGCCCTTTTTATACTTGCTGTCTCATATGGGTAGAAATATAGATAGTAAAACAATCCTTCATCCTGTTACCCAAACCAGAAGCTCAGGATTCATCCCTTTTCTCATCACTCCTTTATCTAGTCAATCACTGAATGCTATTGGTCTTACCTTCCAAATATCTCTTGAATCCGTCTTTCCTCTCTGTCACTACTGCCTGTGTCTTAATTTAGACCCTCATCATTTTTCACCTATATTGTTGCATTTCCTAAGTGGTTCTACTGCCTCCAATCTTGAATCCTCTCAAATCCATTCACTACACAGCCATAAGAATAGTCATTTTTCATTTTAACAGCTCTGCTGAGATAAATTTACATATCATATAAACACACATGTAAAATGTACAATTTAGTGGTTTTTAAAATATATTCATGGAGTTAAGTAATCATTACCACAATTTTAGAACTTTGTCATCACCCCAAAAAGAAACCCCCGCCGGGCACGGTGGCTCATGCCTGTAATCTCTGCACTTTGGGTGACTGAGGTGGTTGGATCACCTGAGGTCAGGAATTCGAGACAGCCTGGCCATCATGGTGAAACCCTGTCTCTACTGAAAATACAAAAATTAGCTGGGCGTGGTGGCAGGCGCTTGTAATCCCAGCTACTCGGGAGGCTGAGGTAGGAGAATGATATGAACCCTGGAGGCAGAGGTTGCAGTGAGCCAAGATTGCGCTACTATACTCCAGCCTGGGTGACAGAGTGAGACACTGTCTCAAAAAATATAAAGAAACCCCCATACCTGTTAGTCACTCCCATTTCTCCTTAACTCTCCTCCCTCTCTGCAGCCCTAGGCAAGCACTAATCTACTTTCTGTTAGTAGATTTGCCTATTCTGGAAATTCATTTAAATGGAATCATGCAATCTGTGGTCTTCTGTGACTGGCTACTCTCACCATAATGTTTTTGAAGTTTATGCATGAGATGGCATGTATCAGCACTTTATTCCTTTTTATTGCTAAATAATATTCCATTGTATGGATGTAAGTTATTTTGATAGAATTGTCTTTTTTTAAAGCACAAATCTGATCTCTTTCAGCCCCTTATTAAAATGTTACAGGATTGAGTCCAAGTAATCTCACTCCATTTTTTTCTCCTTCTCTCCCCTAGTATTCGCCCACTTTAGATTGATTGATCGATTATTTGATTGGTTGGTTGATTTTGAGATGGAGGCTCACTCTGTTTTCCAGGCTGGAGTGCAGTGACGCAGTCTCAGCTCACTGAAACCTCCACCTCCCAGGCTCAGGTGATTCCCAAGTAGCTGGGATTGCAAATACACACCACCATGCCTGGCTACTTTTTGTATTTTTACTAGAGATGGGGTTTCACCATGTTGGCCAGGCTGGTCTCGAACTCCTGACTTAAGGTGATCTGCCCACCTCGGCCCAACCTCAGATTTTATACATTAGTAATATTGAACTACTTAGTTCTATTCTACATCTTTGGGCCTTTGCCTGAGTCGTTCCCTCTGCCAGTAATATCCTGCCCTGTTTTTTTCCTTGGCAATACCTTGATCCTTTTGAAAACCCTGCCAAATGTGTGTGAAATTACCTGTGTATTGAGTTCTTGCGGCAAAGTTTTAATAGCAAAATATTGGAAATTTCTTAAGTGCCCATTTATACAGTAGGAGGCTACTTAAATAAATTATAAATTATGGTATAGTCCCACAATAGAAAAATATGCAACTTTACCACCCAAAAGAAGAAAGCATTTGTTTACTGATCTGTGTTAGTCTTGTATTAGTATTAGTCTGTTCTCATGCTGCTATTACCTGAGACTGGGTAATTTATAAGGAAAGAAGTTTAATTGACTCACAGTTCTGCAGGGCTGGGGATGCCTCAGGAAACTTAAAATCATGGCAGAAGGGGAAGCAAACACGTCTGTCTTCACATGGTGTCAGCAAGGAAAAATGCTGAGCAAAAGAGGAAAAGCTCCTTTTCTGATGGTTTTATCCATCAGATTTCGTGAGAACTCACTCACTATCACGAAAACACCATGGAGGTAACTGCCCCTGTGATTCAGGTACCTCT